GGCTCGCGTTTATGCCTAGTTATTTCAGTCTTATCAGCTGGGTTGTGTCAACATGACCCTTTCCTGCAAGCCAGCCTTCAGCAATGCTCTCCACATTATTGTGATATCAGCAACATGACTCAGAATTCCATGTCCTCTAATACGTATCAACAACAGCTGTGGAAAAAGCTGTCACAGGAAAGGGAAACGGGGCAGATCTCAGCCACTGTTCATAACACAACTAAATTCAAAACAGACACAGGAGCTCTGTGTAAATTATTTAATAAGTTCACACACCGAACATTTAAGTAGCAAACAACTCTTCATCAAAACGGACAACAGGAACAAATTAGTGATAAGGCACTAATTTCCACTGATTTGCTTCTTGCCACGTGGAAGCATTCGGGCTGCTCCACAGTTAACTGCTTGAAGACAGCAGAAACACCTTCCAACGTGCAAAGACACAGGAGCCCCCCTGCGGAGCACAGTTCTCTAGCCTGCTCGGCTCTTCATTTTCTGCCGTGCTCTCTTCCCAGGTCTCTTCTGCAAAGAGAGAATAAACTCCAGTCTTTAATTTCATGTTCTCAGAATTTAATATAGCTCTGTAGCATCAGTACCTCTGGAGAAGGAGTTTTTGAGAAATGTGGCAACATACAGTACTTGTTAAGTCCCCCACTTATTTCCCTTTTCAAACCCCAAACCAGTGCCCCCAGCCCTATCCATGATAAAATTAATTCCAGATGCTGGAGGCACTCATCACATACTCAGGTGTCCCTCCCAGACCAGGGAGGGCTTTCCAGCCAACGGCAATCACTCGCACTCAACATTTTACTTACATTGAGAGCTTTCTTTCCTCCTTTTCCTGGGCCTTTGTTGTGAGCCACTTTTGTCCTGAAGCTGGATACATCATTAAAACTGTCCTTTGTGTTCCACTTCGAACCCTTTTTCTTTCCGCCAAAACCAAACTTCTGATTCTTGTATCGTCTTTTGGCATTTGGTCTGAAAAACAACTCTGCTGCATCACCACTTATGCACCTTTCCTCAGGAAGCCCTCAAGAAGGAAATAAATATCAGCAGACAGACTCCCATCAATTCTCATAAAAGTTTCCCCTCTGATCAAAGAAGAAATCAGCACATTCCAGGCTGTACTTCAATAGGCCACAGTTCTCCTCTCTAGGGATACAAAGTTGCTCAGGACTTATTTTTCACAAATAGTAATTTACACAGCTTCCTTGTCATACAAAACTCCTACAAAACTTGGGAAAAAAAAAAGTAAATCAGAGATTCTGCCTTTAAATATCTCTTTTCTAATCTCACCCTTTCTTCATTTGTTGATTTGCACCGCCTTTTTTATTCCCCTGAGATGAAGTCTGTTCTTCATCCAGAAAATCCAGCTTGTCAGAGAGACCTGCAAGAGCAAGGACAAAACTGTTGCTCAGTTACCACCACAGAAACCAAGTATTCAGCCCAAATAACAACAACAAATCACCCTCACTGAAGACCAAGATTTTCTCTGCCACAAGTGTATGGTTCTGTGTAGCAGCAGCCTTTCAAGCTTTATTGCTCAGCAGTAGAGATGACATCACATATCACAGTGCCTTACACTCCTGACACATCACTATTCCCATTGTACATTTGGTCTCTTAGACAATTTAACTTTACCTTTCTGATACTTCTTGACTGCATTTAACATCTTTTTTTTCTCCTTTTGCCTTCTCTGTAGAATCTCTGTTTGTACCTGAGAAGAGAGGCAAAATGTTAGCGTTGGTTTTTTTCTGGTGCTCCATACCTTCTCTAGGCCCTGGTATCCCACCGCTGTCTCTTTAAGGCAGCTAGACAAAAGACCAGAGAGATTCCACTTTATCCTGCCTCCAGCAATCCCATTTTCTAAGCTTAGTTAGGCTCTAGATTCTTGTCACAGACAGGTCCCTTTTTGTAGCTCCTCCTCACCTTCTTGCCATATTTTCTCATGGCACGGAGCTGTTTCGCTTTCTCAGACTTCTCCATTGCTTCCTGCTTGCTCTTAAGCTTCTGCCGAATCTTTTTAGGGGAAAAGAAAAAAAAATTAATGAGTAATGCAAAGGAAAGTGTGAGAACTTTAAGACGTCTGTGCAGCTCTGAAATCAGTAATTATGTAAACAATATCACCAAATGCAAAAAGAATATCTGTCTCAATCAGATCATTTCTCTATCATCATGGCTACAGTTTAACTCAACACCCACAACTGAAAACCACTGAGAGCTAGAATACACCAAATATAAATTAAGGAAAAAAAAAAAAAAAAAAAAAAAGGATCACATAAATGCCTCCATTCACTGCAAGTTTTATGGCAAATAATAAACACCACCAACTTCCCAACCACCGTTACATGTATGAAGAAATCTCAATTTTCAATATTAATTATACGTGGGACGCAATGTAAACCACTTTTACAATGTAAACCACTCTTCTACTTTGCACTTCCAGCCTGTTGTGGAAGTCTCCACACTGCACAGAAATACCTGTACAGGAAAAAATTCCCAACTGCAAAGGATTCAAACACAAATGTTGTTGCAGGCCTTTGTCAAAGAGATGATGGCAACTATTAAGGACCACACAGTTCATAGCTAACACAGGCTAAAACCAACACACAGCACAGGAATGAAAGCTACTGCTCACGGCACATACCTTCTGCATCTGCTGGTCTGACTTGGCCATCTCTGCAAAGTAATCATCTGGCCTTCTAGTAGGAACACGGAGCTTACGCAGCCTCGGTAGGGCCTCCAGCACTGCTGCCTGTGCCTGCCGGTAACTGGGGAGACAGCACAAGAGCAGCTCTGTGACAGGGCACCAGGCAGCTCACAGCACTGACACAGGCTCTTCACGTAAGGCAGAAGATACCAGGATCTAAGAAAACGCAATCTAGTACTATATCATCATTCATACTCTAGAACATTCCTAAAGCAATTTGTGCCAGCACAGTATTAATGTTGGTATCCTTCTGCTAAGGTTTTATACATCACGTAAAACACACAGCAACAAGAACTACGCGTCCACACACATAAAGCCATCTGCTGTCAGAGTCATAAGGTTGCAATTCAGAGACTTCCTAAAGACACTTCTCAGCAATGGATGGAAGTTTGCTGCAAGGGGAGAAATTACTTCCTGTCACAAAACAGCTTAAATATATTAGCACTTATCTGTAGCTATTTTGCAAAACATTTGGAACCGTCAAATGTAATATAAGATGGGCCAAGAGCAATGCCAGTGATAGATCACAGCACTCATATGAAACCAGACACCAGGCATGCAGCAGCATGTAGAGAACCTATGAACAATCTCTTTTTACACTTACAAACTCATTTCTCTCTGGAAATCATTCTCAGGATCAACAGCATCTTTGTTAGAATCACTGTGTGAGACAGATTCCACAGTATTTGCAATCGGATCCAATGTCACATCCAGCCTTTCCACCCAAGCTAGTTGCTGCTTGAAATCGGACAGGCACTGCTTCAAACCGTCCTATGAAAGGGAAGCACAGCTCTGAGAAATGAGACACAAAAACAGCACTTCAAGTTTGGCAAAAGTGAATATCCAGGTCACAAAATAGGCTATTCCTCTGAAGCTGTTCGGTTATTCCCCAAATTATCACAGCAATTCAGTCTGGAAAGCATAAACATCAATGTTCTGCTTGAAGAAGGCCCCTGGTCAGTACACAGGGTCAATCACAGAAGGCTGGAAGGGAGCTCTGGAGATCATCCAGTCCAACTCCTCACTAAAGCAGGCTCCCTAGAGCAGGTTGCATAGGAAAGTGTTCAGGCAGGTTGTCTCCAGAGCAGCAGACTCCATAGTTTCTATGGGCAGCCTGCTGCAGTGCTCTGGCACCTACAACATAAAGAATAAGCCTTGCCCTGTCATTAGGCATCACTAAAAAGAGCCTGGCCTTGACGTGTCTGCCATCTCTTATTTTTCTAACAAGCTCTACATTCTTATTTCTATAAACTATCTCTAACTATCCCCCTTTACCCCCCTTATTCTCCATCACTGTGAAGCCTTTTTGCCTTTTTACTGTCACTTACAGGGCCCTTCTCACCTTTCAGTCTCATCTACTTGATTCACTTTTAGATACTTATAAGCATTAATGAGATCTTCTCTCAGTCTATCCAAACTGAACAGTCCCAGGCCCTTCCTCCTAAAAAAGATGCTCCAGGCCCATCATCATCTCTGTGACCCTCTGCTGGGCTCTCTCCAGCGGTTTCCTCTCTGTCTCAAACTGATGAGCCCAGAACCGGACACAGTATTGCAGTTACGGCCTCACCGAGGCAGAGGAGAGAGGTGGGCTCTTTTTACCGTACTCCAGAACACCACTGACCTTCTGAGCCAATGGGGCACAGCGCTGGCTCACAGCCAACCTGTTATCCACCAGGGCGCTCCACAGAGCTCCCTTCCAGCAGCTCAGCCCCCAACCTGCGTCGATACACGTGGTTATTCCCCGCAAGGTTCAAACCTCGGCTTTGCTGAGCTCCCGTGCACAGAAGCCCGAACATCTCCGCGCAGCTCCTCGCCCGCCTCCACGCGCAGCAGTTCCCCCCGCGGCCTGACCCAACCTTCTAGGCCGCAACGCCCCTCCATCCCCGCTCCCGAACACCCCAGCGGTTCTGCCCCCACCACCCCCCGGCCCGGCGCCAGCCCCTCACCACATCGTTAGACCGCTTCGGCCGCCCCTCCAGCACCACGTTGAGCCCCGGCTTCAGCTCGCCCTTCGCGAAGGCCTCTTGGAGCTGCGAAGAGAACGCGCTCAGACCGGGCCGCCGCGCCCCAAGGCGGCTTCGGGCCGCGGTCCCGCTGCCGGCCGTAGCAACGGGCTCACCTCCGAGTCGGAGAGCGAGGAGTCCTCGGAATCCGAGAACGAGTCGGACTCGGAGCCGCGCCGCTCCATGCCGCCGCTTCTGCCGCCGCCACTTCCGGGCACGCGCACGCGCGCCGCCGTCACTTCCGGCGGCCGCGAAGCCGCGGTTTCCACGGCGACGGCGGACGCGTCATGGCGTCGGTGGCGGCGCGGCCCGCGGCCGTGTTCGGCTGCCGACCCGGCGTGTCCGGCGGCGTCTGCTTCCTGCAGGAGCGGCTGGTGCTGCACGCGGCGGGTGCGGCCCTCGCGCAGTTCCACACCGAGCAGAGATGGCACAAGTTCATCCCAGGTGCCGGCACCCCACCCGGCCCCGTCGCCGCCGCCCGCCCACGACCCGATCCGATCCCTATCCCTTCTCCTCCCCGCAGGCCGCGAGAAGAGCCGGGGCGTGCGGGCGCTGGCCGTCAGCCGCAGCCGGCGGTACCTGGCCGTTTCCGAGACGGCGGAGGAGGAGCCGGCTCTGACGGTGTACGAGCTGACGGAGGGGCCGCCACGGCTGCGGAGGACGCTGACCGCCGCCGAGCTGCCGGCGCGAGAGGCGCTGGCCTTGGCCTTCTCCCCCGACGGCCGGCATCTGGCCGCGGCCACCGGCCCTCCCGAGCCGCGCCTCGTCCTGTGGCTGTGGGAGAAGCAGCGGCTGCTGGCCGCGGTGCGCCTCGAGGCCGCCGGAGGCGGTGTCTGCCAGGTAACGGCCGCCGGGAGCCGCCGGCAGCGGGAATCACAGAAATCACAGAATGGCCAGGGTTGGAAGGAACCTCAAGGATCACGAATCTCCAACCCCCCCACCACAGGCAGGACCACCAACCTCCCCATTTAGTACCAGACCAGGCTGCCCAGGGTCCCATCCAATCTGGCCTTGAGCCTCCAGGGACGGGGCATCCACAGCCTCTCTGGGCAGCTGTTCCAGCACCTCACCACTCTCTCTGTAAAGAATTTCCCCCTGACATCCAACCTAAATCTCCCCTCCCTCAACTTAAAACCATTTCCCATTTTTGAAGGGCGCTTGTGAACGCCAGGGGGACAGGCCGCATGGTAGCTGCCATTTTTTTCTGGGGTACGTCTACAAGCAGACAGCCTGCTGTGTGTGTGAGCTCAGTTTGTGGCGAGAGGAGAGTGACCGTGAAGACAAGTGCAGCCTATAGTCCCATTAAGCGTGGAAAATCATGTCTAGCTACTCCTGCTGTCCTTGTATAGGGGATCGAGGTGATTAGTCCACTGGATCCATCAGCACACACCCATTTACACAAATTAAAGCGCATTATGGGTAAGGTTTGCCTTTCCCGAAATACAGAAATTCTTCCTGACTTCTAAGAATGGATGGTGCCTTTCTACCTGGAAAACCTGGTAATCAGCAGTGAAGACGTGTTTTTGCCTTGCTTGATCCTGAAGGGCAGAGACAACTCCCATACTATACTGTGATTCAGGTGGCTTCTAAGTTTAATAGAATTAATGTATCCATAACATCATGTCTCACATTGATACGCACAGTTCCAAAAGGGGGAGAAGTGCAAAGTGTATTTCTTAGTTTCTTCTACGTTTCTGTGAAAGTTTTTTCCTTGTTTGTTTTCCTGTATCTCGTACCTCTCTAGAACAATATGATACTTGCATATGATAATTCCTGAGAGTAAACATAGCTGTGTAAAATAATTTCTCTCTCTTGTTCCACAGGTGAGCTTTAGTCCTCAAGACAATGCACAGATTTGTGTTACTGGAAATGGCTTTTTTAAACTATTTAAATACAGTGAAGGAACTTTGAAGCAGACAAATTTACAAAAGGGAGAGCCACAAAACTACCTGTGCCATGCTTGGCTGTCTGAGGAGGAAATTATATGTGGCACTGCCACAGGCAAACTTTTCCTCTTTGAAACTGGAGAGCTGCTCTGGCAGAGAGATGTAGAATACAGAAAACCACCCAAGGAACTGGAAGAAGGTACACGAGCAAAGCATTATGAGAGGTAAATCTTTGCAGAATACTTGTGCATGAAGACTTGTTGCAGGCCATTCACTTCTTTCTTGTCCAGTTCATGAATAGGTTATAACATTTTTGATGCTGCTAATAAACATTTTTGTTTTGTCTCTTTTATTCTGAAGACTTTATACATTTCTTGCTTGCAGTTGTTCTGATGTCTCTGGTGAACCAACCTCTGAAGACAGTGGTTCATTACAGGATTCTCTGCCTCAAATATCTGCAGTTGTAGCTTATTCCAAAGGCTTTGCATGTTCATCTAGCCCAGGAGTGGTTCTTCTGTTTGAGAAGACCAACGAGAAGGAAGTCTACAAGGAGAGTCAAGAAATCTGGGTAGGGGAAAAAAAAGCTTTTGCAAGCAATTACAAAGCAGAGGCCTGTTTTTGTGGGCAGGAGGGCTGCTTCTGATTCAATTATTAATAATAATTCTTAGCACAATTAAATTCCATTCTTAGCACAACATTAAAGTCCATTATAAGCACGAGCTAAGTGTTGTAAAAAGGAAGGGATTTGCCAGAGCTCACACTGAAACTCAGGGTCAGATGAACTTTTGCAAGGTAGCTCGCCATGTACCTTTATGTGAAATATGGTTGCTAAGGTTGCTAAGCTTCTGGAAACCTTTAAGAAACCTGTATTTATGGAGGCATTGGAGCTAAGAAGTAGGCTGCATCAGTTATGAAAAACTAGACTGATTGTTTGCTTTTTTCCAAGGCAATGCATCTTTCCCTTCAAATATTTATTATGGCTTTGGCAAGACATATGCACTCTTAAGTAATCTAGTAAGATTTCTAATTGTCCCATAGGAGCTGTGTGTACTGACTTACTGTGGTATCAGGATAAGGGCATTTTACTCTGATCTGGTCAAGCCTTTACATTCTGGGCCTGGAAGGTCACATCTTCATTACATGTCAGATCCTAGAAGTTAGAAAAGGGAATAAAAATCTTTTTTGCTTGTGGATATTTAGTAAATCTTCATCAACTTCCAAACCTTTTACACTAGAAATTGAAAGCTCTTTTAAAGGTGTTCTACTGTCAGCCAGCTTGTTGCTTCCACAGTCGATTATTCCTCAAGTCTACAAGATAAGAGACTTTCTGCCAGGCACGTATAGGTGTATATATGGTTTGCACCTGCCTGCCTCCAACTCATCGATTTGAGAGGTGGGTCTTGGAATCCACTGGCTGACTGGACACAGGAGCTCAGGTCTACAGGAGGAGGAGTTCATGAGTCTTTAGTGATGAAGCTCATGGTCTGTTGACCATCAATCTTTTGCAAATAGGATGCCACTAATTCAGGTATTATCAGCCTGAATGATACAGTACAAATAATGGTTATTCTGAGATCACAGTTTCCAGGCAGTTTTTATTCTATCACTTTCTACTTTTTTTGCTTAATGTCTTTTTGATACCGATTTGTTTTTTAACTCAAGTGCTTAAGATTACTGCTGAAATATCCTCTGATGCTCAGATGTTAAAGGCACATTTTGGTTATCTTGAATGCTATTCCTGCCTGGAAGTACTTTTATGCTATTTGCTATCCAAGTATTCTTATTGATACTGCATATATACTCATTAAGGTGGTATTTCAGCAAAAGTGTGTGTGTGTGTGAGTGCAAGAATGCCTACTGCTAGGACATGGAGACCTGAAATACCCCATTGGATATATTTCTTGTGCAGCTTCCTCAGGACCTGTTCACCACTGTGCCAAAGCTGTTGGGCAGACAGGACATTACATGCATATGCTTCAGCCCCTCTGAGGAAGCCATAGTTGTTAGCACAACTAAAAATCAGCTTTACATGTTTACTATGCCCTCCACAGATTATTTGAAGGTGAGTGCAATCTTTACACATTCCACATCCAACGTATCCAGTAGGGGATGTATTGTAGAGGCACAGACCCTTCAGTGTCGCCTTCTGTGATGTGTTCTCCTGAAATCTATCAGCTAGGCTCTGAACCCTTAAAACACATCTCTGAGGTGCACTGTGTGCTTCTCTGAGTGCTGTATTTCTGTATTTTAGTAGCCTCTTGTGGAAACACCTCTCTATATCCCTCTCTATATGCACACTAGATGCTATTCAGTAGAGGGATAAAAGGATACTGCTAAGACTATTTAGGGATGCATGTCACTATCAGACCATGTAAGTAAGGTTTTAACTGAGGGATTTTTAGTGTAATTGTAGTAGTTTATGCTATACTGTAAGATGCAGAAACTGCAGCATCATAGTAAAGCTGAAACAGCCTTGGGAAGCTAATCTGACTCCAAAATAATAGTTCCTGAAGTTCTAGTTGGAAGTGAAACCTTTTTGTGAAGGACAAACATCATAATAAGCATTCCTTGTTTTGATGGAATTAAATAATACAAGGGCAGGAGTTGAACGTGTAATGAAATTGACTTTACAAAGTTAAATACTAACCTGCATAAAGTAATATTAAGAAGATCTCTACAGGGAAGGGTTTTGCAGTTATGGAATCTTCTTCTGCATGCATTCTATAATTGCATCAGTGTTTCACATCCAGCATGGAATAGTTAAACATCCTGATTAATTTGCTTATTATTTAGCACGTAATTATTTTTAAATATCTGTCAGACCACAAGATCTTAACTGAGTCCTTTCAGGTCCAGTTTTATTTGTTTATCTAACTTGTGTTTATTTGGACACCTCCAATTATGATCTGCTCTCGCTGGTGTATGAGATCTGTGGTGCTTACATATTCCCTGCAGCACTTTTCCTGATAATTAATCATAATGTTAAAATGATTCTAATGCTGTTATGTTTCAAGGATGTTCAGGCAGGAGCAGTGACAGGAGGAAGTGGCTTCCTCAGACCTATTAGATTACTTACACAAAGAGTTGTGATAGATTTCTTACCTGATTTACTGCCCACAGGGAAACATTTGTTTGTTTTTTTTTTTTAATGTTATCATTTTTCTCAGGAAGAATCAAGTCATTTTGAATATCTACATTTCCCATTACATTCTGCTTCAATCACGGGTCTGGACGTCTGTATTCGAAGACCCATTGTTGCCACTTGTTCCCTGGACAAATCTGTTCGTGTCTGGAATTACAAGACAAAGTAAAGAGTTGTTTTTGTTTGTTATTACCTCCTGCTTTTTCATATATTGTGTTTAGCAGTCAGCAGCATCAATTTCATGTCAATAACAGAGTTATTTTGATAAAAGTCTTACGTGGTGTGGGATAGGAATGGTCTTATTGACATGCTTTGGGCACTATGGATATGAGGTGCCTTTGAAATGTAGCGCCAGTAGTCCAAGACGTTTTCTATTATTCAAGGTTTGTGGTAAAGCTGTAATGTGTTTTGGAAAAAGAATCTCCAGGAACATTCATAGGGAGTTTGCACCGTTCCATTCTGCACAATGGTTTTCTCTTTCAGCACTTTGGAGCTGTACAAGGAGTTCTGGGAGGAGGCATACACAGTAGCACTTCACCCCACTGGCCTTTTCTGTTTGGTTGGGTTTCCTGACAAACTACGATTTATAAGTGTGCTATATGAGGACATGCATGTTTTCAAGGATTTTCCTGTGAGAGAGTGTAGAGAGGTAAGGAATGATTCAAGTGTGGGACTGGGGAGCGCAGTGGGGAAAAACATGACATAAGATAGCATCCTGTCTGATAGATCCTATAGGATTTAGGATATAAAAGCAAAGAGAACGTTTCCAACTATCAGAAAATGAGCCTGGACTGATGTGTAACTGTGGGCCTGGGAACCATTGAAGGGGTTTGGTCAGAAATACTGGAGGACTGAATTTTACAGGGGAAAGCACCAACTATGAGAGTGGTAATATGCTGATTATGTCACGCAGCTTTCTTCTTATACAGTGTTCAGATATTAGATAATGTCATTGGAATTCATTGCATGACTTTTTATATCCGCTGCATCTACACTAATGCGTGGATATTTTCTCTTTGTAGTGCTCATTCAGTAATGGAGGCCATCTTTTTGCTGCAGTTAATGGAAATGTGATTCAAATTTATTCCTGTACCACCTTTGAGAATACTAATAATTTAAAAGGACATAGCGGGAAGGTTAGTAAACAAATCCTAAACACTACAACTCATTAAGTGTGAGTTCTTGGGATGCATTTAGAAAAGGTGAAGTACAATCTTTAATCAGGAATGGACCCCAAAATTAGTGCTACAAATACAAAAAGTCAGCTTTCCTATTTAGTATATGTGTGCACCACATAAATCTGAAGAGTCTGTCCTTACACTGAAGAATGATTTGCACATAGCAGAACTAGGAGAAATATCCCAATAATGAAGTATAAAAATGAGATGAACTGCTTGTTATGAACTGCTTTGAATATTATAGAAATAAGCTTTTTTGTCAGTGTGATCATAAGGTAATTTGAAATGTTGTGGTGGTTTTTTTTAATGCTGAAATGGAATTAGCTGAAAAACATCAAAGTTATTTTAAGAAAAACCTAGAAATGTGATTCCAAAGCAGTTGTGGGTTTACCACTAAAGGAACTTGCATGCTGTCTCCCTCGCATGTTTTGTGTTTGACAGATATGTGCAGTTAAATGGAGTGCAGATGATTCAAAATGTTTCTCCTGTGACACACACGGTGCTGTGTATGAGTGGAACTTATCAACAGGTAAAAGGGAGATGGAGTGCGTGCTCACATCCTGCATCTACAGCAGCATTGCCCTGCATTCTGATTCCAAAGTCATCTTTGCTGTTGGATCAGACCAAACTCTCAAAGAAATTTCCGAGTCTTCGGTGAGCTAACTTGTGCTGTGGCATTTTGCTAAGTTCTTTAGGGAGGGTGCTAATGCTTTGGTTTCCTTATCATCCATGGAACCCATTCTTGATTGCTACAATATTCGCTGGTGGTTTTCTAGTGTTCTTATGTCCTTTACCATGAAACTTGAGATTTTGTTGTAGTTTTTATCTTTCTAATTTTACCTTGATTTACCTCAAAATCTTCTAGTCCAGCAAACTAACTTTGCAATATTGTATCAAATCTTTTGCTGAAACATTAGTTCCAGTATTGGATATACCTCCGTAGACCACAGGGGTTTTTGTTTTGTTTTGGTTGTTTGTTTTTCTGTTAAGAACAATGCTAAATTGAATGCAATAAGCATTTCATTATTCAAAGAGATTGACTTGTGGAACTTGGCTTTAAATTTTAAGACTGCACACGTACAAAGTTCAGTACTATCATTAATGATTTTACATTATATTACTATACATTTTTTTGTCCTGTAGACATGTAGATTCTCCTAACTGCTTTCTTTGCTGCAGGCAGCAATACGACAGCTGCTCATGCAGTAAGTAATTAAATAGCTTTGGGAAACTTAACGCAATGTGGTGGTAACATTTCTTTGTGGTTTGGTTTTTTTAGGTCCAGCATGAAGTGCCTGCTGTTGATGCTGTTTACACTGCAGTAGCTGTTTCTCATTCTGGTGACATGGTATTTGTCGGTACATCTCTGGGAACAGTACGAGCTATGAAGTACCCGTTACCTTTGTGCCAGGATTTCAATGAGTATCAAGCCCACGCTGGTGCTGTTACAAAGGTAACACAGAATACTTCTTTGCCATGCCAATTGTACTCATCTCATTTAGCACCAATTCTCCTTCCCCTTTCACAGCATAATATGTTCTAACTAAGGTTGAGCGTGCTTCTGGAAAGTGAAGATTAGAGAATTCACAGAAGTCTTGTCTTTAGAAATAGGCATTACTAGACAAGCAGGTTTTGGTTAAAAAAAAACAAGGCATATTCCTGATGGAGAACTTTGTTATATCTTTTTCTGGAAAGAGGAAGATAAAACTATGCGGGCTTGGAAATCTGTTGTGAGAATGGATGGAGGAACGAGATACATGCATTAAATGATTTGCTGCCAGGGTAAACAAGAGGTAAACAATGCACAGTCTGATAACTGTAGTGTTTCTAGAAGGCTATTGAAGAACGTATGAAAGATGGGGACATGGTGAGTGGAAGTTCCAACCATGAAATATTTCAGTACACTTTTGGGAACCCGTGTGTTCTGCTTTCTTAAAACTGCTGATGATTTTGGTGTTTTAAATATCACTGTCAAATACGGCACCTTGACTTGGAGCTGCACAGTCCAACAGTAGGCTACATACTAGGCAATTACTAGAACCATACTTTCACTTCACTCACAAGCTGTGTCAGCTCCCAGGTACTCTATGCCAAGCTATGCAGTCAGAGGAGGTCTGCAACAGATGACTGCAGTTATTACTAGATATTTCTCAGTGAGTTTTTTATGCAAATTCAAGAGAAAGATTTAACCATCTGTTGCTCAAACAACTACTCAGAGAAAAGAGGCTTAGGACCTTTGGAATTTTGATATGAATTGCCTGTCTGTGCTATGACTATCTAGAAGGTCTTGTCTGTTCCAGGTTTTTTAAATCTTCCTACAGCTTAGGGAACAGAAGTGGATCCAGTGTCTTCACAAGTTCCTCTGGATCTTCATTGCCTTCCAATGTTTTCTGGACCTGGCTGGAGCAGGAGTAGAGGATGTTGGGCTATGTTAATACTTCCACTGCAGACTGTGGTAGAAACAACAGGGAATAAGCGGGTGGGAAGCAAAATGTGATGTAAGATCAAACAATGTCGCTGTTCTTCCTCGTCTCTATTATCATTCCACTGTCTCTTCTTTCTAAGATGTCTGTATCAAATGATGACCTCTTTTTGCTGACCGCCTCAGAGGATGGCTCTATATTCTTCTGGAAAGTATACAGTAAGAAGGGAATGACACTGAAAAGGGAAAAGGAATTTGAATATGCTGAGGAGGTGTTGATCATGAAATCCGATATAGAGGAGAAGGTAGGAGGAGCAACCTATGCATATGAACTATAAGATTCCTAGTTTGCAGTTTGTGAATTACATTTGCAAGATGTTTGTGACTAAGTGTGCATGTATGGCCCTTTGTCAAGAGAACTTGCATGGCTTTCTTTGCAAGAGGAGGTTACAGCAAGTAGCTGAGCGTTAACATGCAAACAGCACTGTATGAACAGCAAATGTAGAAAAGAGTTTTGACATTTCTCTAATACCTTCTCCAGTCACTTGTAGACAGTTTTAATGTGGTGGAGAATCAGCTGCATTTTTATATACTGTCTTGTAAAATAACACGGGAAATTGCTTCTGAAACTTAATAGTCTGTCTTGGTGAAAATTCTCTAAGGCTGTCTTTCAGAAATAGTTAAAGCATCCTTAACTGTTGCTAATGGCAAATAATCTCTCTGTTAAAAGTATCTTCTCATCCATGTCCTAATAGAATCGGGCAATGCTAGACCTGCAAATTCGTGTGTCAGAGCTACAGACAGAAAACGATTACCAGTTACGTCTCAAGGACATGAGTTGTCGTGAAAAAATAAAGGAATTAGAAGAGACTTTCACTCAGGAGCTAGAATCCCTTAAAAACAAACACCAGGTATGATTCATACTGCAGTTCCAAATACTAAGTCTTTCCCTTTTGAGCTAAATTCAAGCTTACATTATGTATGTATGAATGCCACAAGGCATCTGAAGAATGCAACATTCCATTCCAACAAAGGTGTTCCTGATATCTGTAAAGCATGAACCTATTATTTGAGTCAACTATCTTGCAAGTACTGAGGGGAAGCAAGAGGCTACCTGGGAGAGAACAGTTTCAGCAATAACTTTTGCCTGCATCCAAGGATCAGTAAGATCTATCATCTGTGGGTAGAAGTGGGACTGTGCCTTAAAAGCTCTATCGCATGCAACTTGCACCTCCTACGGTTGTTCATTTTACTGCCTTATTCTTTATGCTTTGGCTGCCTAGCACTTTTAAAAACACTCGGTGAAGTGTCTTGTATGCTTTTTGAAAACAGAATTAAACTATACCCTCTGGATTTCTCCTGTTCATATACTTGGTTTGTTTCATATATTGGTTTCTCTGTGGTCACGAGGGAGAGCTTCGCTAAAAGACAAAAGCCACAATAATTTCTCCCAGTGTCTTTCTTACATGTGCCTGCTAATTCTGTTCTGCCTATCCAGTGCATACACCACATGGTTGATCTGTAATTTTCAGGACCCTATTTAGAGTTAGAATGGAGATGATGCAATAGCAATTTCACTGTCAGTCAAATGGCTTGAGGTGAGAGATCACATACCATATATGCCATGATTCAATTCTATTATTTTCAGTAATACATTTTACAATAAATATTATCCAATCCTCGTGATTTGATAGCATTTATTTTGTTGAGTTGTACATAGTCCCTTCAGAAAGTATTTCAGTTTGTCTCCACATAAAGTAAGATTCCAGACAGAAAGCTTGCTGAGGTACTTATCACTTTAGTTATTCTACGGCCTTGTTATAAAAGTGTTCCTTTTATAACTCTCTTGTCTGTTGGCTCTGCCAGTGTTCTGATGAGTTTCTGATCTTGATTTTCTTGAGAAATTTAATTACTGATTTTGAAGTTTTCCTTGAGTTGTTCCTTAGGCTCTCAGGCTTTTCTCATTGTTCTTCTGCATTTAAATAGCCAGAGTTTAAACTTCTCTACTTTTCCTCATTTTTATATAGCTTAACCTTTAAGAAGGTCACCTGTTCACATCTTATGTATTCATTCCTTTAACTGAATTTTACCTGTGCCAGTTTTCTTCTGCATTTCTTTAGGTCTTTTCAGAATTGTTATTATCTTAGCTACACTGAAACTTCTTTAGGCTGGTTGATTATAGGCTTGCAAGCAAATGCTTTTGAAGGTGAATAAAAGTTCCACTCAGGCAAGTTGTACTTCCTCTGTGAGGATCAGTATGTATTAACCTGTGGTGGCTCCCTCCGAATTTTCTGGGAATTTTCTCACTCATCTTTTCCGGTTGTGTCTTTTTAGAAGATGAAGTAGTTTGCAGTGGTAGTAGAACATGCAAGCAAACGGCATTCAAACCTTGCTTTTGCCTAGTTTTGTCATTCCATGCAAATGTCAGTGCTCTAGGGCTTCAAAGTTGCTCCAAGTGAGCAGCTTGGATTTTGGTATCTGCACAACAATTTGCAGAACTGTGTATTTTCCTCAAGCAGGCACACGCAGAAAAGTGGAGGCCTTTGTGACTCACAAACTTTTCTTGTTAGCTTAGGATTATAGAATGCCCTGTATTATATGAACTCCATTGCAACTTTTCTTCAGCTTTCCTTAGTATTGTAATTTTTCATGCTGAATCTCTGGGACAACCCAGCTTAATAATACATGGCATGCTTTTCTAGTGAGAGATTTCAAACATCATTCTGTTGTGTGTGTGTTCTCCACCCTTGGCAAAAATACAAAGGATTTAGACTGCTTTGCTTATTTTTAAGCTTTTGAGGGTTTTTTTGTGTATGTTTTTGTTTTTGTTTTTTTTTTCTCCCAGATTTTACAGGCAGAGAAAGATGATCAGGAAATGCAACACCAGCTTCAAGTATCCGAGCTGATGAATAAACATGCCAAGGAGATGCGAGACCTAGGTTAGACTGCAACAAGTGTTTGTAACTAGAATCTTCAGGAAATGCATTAGATTATGTTGTGAATGCATTTATCACCATGTGCAAGAACACAAAGAATTTGGACCTGCAAGTAACGTGATGAGCAGGGATTATCAGAGTGCAGGGTAAAAGGAAAAAAGGCACGTGTGTCATATAGGCAGAGTAGAACAAAAGTTTGTCTAAACTGCACTCGTGACCAGAAGAATGTGCACGTGGGCATTTTATCTTGGATGTTCTGTTTCTGAGATCAGTAATTTCCTCACTGTACAAGACTTGTGATTGCTTTACTGCTCAACAACCAGGCTAATTAGTGTACAATGTGTACAACATGGAAATACCTGGATCCCAGATTCTTAATCAAGCCAAAACAGAAATACAGCACATTAATACCAAATATCAAGTCCACTCCGTAGCAGTTGTGCTTATACGTTTCTGTCATGGCTGGCATTCTCAAGGGAATGCCTAGATTGACTGCTATTCATTTTTTGTAGTGGTAGACTAGGGGATTTTGGTGCAGGCTTGGACTTACTCAAGCTGAAACATTTTTTTCTGTTGCATTCTGCAGGGATACAACAGAATATTCAAAGGCCCAACTGAGAGAGGAGAATGGCAACATTAGAGCAGGCTTTATTAGTGAAGTGATGAACAGTAAAAGGAAGAGCAGGAAACCCAAGGGATGATTTTCTGATGTAGAATTTTATATGGCCATAGAGCCTAAAACCCCTGTATATCTGACAAAGAAAGCGATGAGTTGTTTGTAGTGTAATTTATTGCAACCAGCTGCCAAAAAGACAGTAGAAAATAAGACATTGATAATAGTAGAAGGATAGGATATGCCTCTCTTTTCTATGAGTTTTATCAGTTCCATATGTTTCCTGTTTCCAGAATCTGACAGTAACCAGAAACTGTTGATGGAAAATGAGAAATACCAGGAGCTGCAAGTAAACTCCCAAAGGATGCAAGAGGAATATGAGAAACAACTGCATAATTTGCAGGAAAGCAAAAACAGGGCTCTAGAAGAGCTAACAGATTATTATGAGGAGAAACTTAATGAGAAATCTCTTCTGTTGGAGGAGGTAAGAAACCTGATTGGCAGTTTGAATTGTTGAGTATTTTTCTTTCCAGCCGTGACGAAATATTTCCTAGAGGATGGAAAGTTGGCACTCTCCACATAATTCCTAACCTGCCTTTAACCTTTTTTTTTTTATTTTTTAGAGTTGGGGGGGGGGGGGGGGGTAGATATGTAGATATCAACAGAACAGTAATGAGGAAAGCCCTAACTGAATTACCAGCTTTTTTGGACTTCATACATTCAGTAATCTGCTGAGAAGAATGTCCTTGGATATTCTCAGCTTTGCCTCTGTTTCCTACATCCAGGAATTTCTTTTTATTAATGTGGGTTAGAAGTTACTGCTGTTGGATAAAGATTAAATCACCTTGTTCTAGTGAAGAGATAACATTTCTAAACTGGTGGATTCTCCTGCTTACTGAAATCACCAATGTCACCAAGTCCCCGAGGCTCCTGCTTTCATAGTTTGAGCAGGAAAAAAGGAATGCCCTGAGTACTTAAGTGAAACTCCAGCACCTGGAGGTCAAAGATTCAGCCAAATAGGGCAGTCAGATGACTGATGCTGATATAATAATGCCAATAAATCCCTTAAGTGTTACTACTTGCATCCCTGTGTTGCAACACCAACTTGGAAAGAGTGTCTGGAAAGAAGGTGAGAAGAAAGTAATACAGAGACTGATGCAAAGCTGAGTGTTTATTGTCCTTAATGCAGCAGAAACAGCATTTAGAAAGGTCTTCTCAAGAGTTACTTAGGTTTGCATTTGCTGTTGTGAGAACAAGTTTGCAAGTTTGGCTAGGTTTTCAGACATATACATTTTTGATTTATTTTGTAGGCAACGTTAAGCACCTAAGCCTTAAGAAGATTTTTTGGTGTTTATCTTAACAGTTTTTAAAGTGACTTTAATCCCCTTAGAACTTGTTAGCTTAAATGCTATTGCTGCAATTGACGCTGAAGAGTCCACTAAGTACAAGCCCTCCCAGGAGAAATACATTACAGATAAAGAATTCTCCTCTTCCTTACTGGCCATCTATTGTTGCCTTCTCTAACGTTTGCTTTTCCTAACTGCAGGCAGAGGAGGATATGAGGCAGCAGCTTCAAGCACACGAAGAAATTAAGAAACAGATTGAAGAAGATGAAGACCGAGAAATCCAGGATATCAAAATTAAATATGAGAGACGGCTTGTAGAAGAAAAGGAATCAAATCTGCAACTGAAAGGAGAAATAGGAGTCATGAATAAAAGGGTATCTCTTATCTGTGATAGGATCGTGTCTGCACGTGGAGACCTGGTGCCAGGGACTGAATGTGTTTAATGATGTGTGAAGACCAATTAACATATTTTGTAAATATTTAGATTTCCATATGAGAACAGTTGCTCCTTTTTATATCCGTCTGAATATTTCAGAATATTTGATCAGAAGAAGCTGTGTGCTGACTGAATGCTGATATCCTTAGAGATGGATGATAGAGCAGGTGTGCTGTTATCAGTACACTTCCTTCAACTGTCTGTAGTTTGAAATCATAAACAATAACATTGTTCATCCTATGATGGGAAACAAATGAACTTTTAAATTTTTCCAAGATCTGATATGTTACTATATTAGAAAAACACTTGTATTGCTTCTTTTTAATGCTGTACACATTATGTTTTGTACATATCAACATTTTTTACTGTTCTTACTCTAGGGTTTTGAAGTAGGCATAGAAACTTTAGCTCTTTGACTAGCTGGAAATTACATTTTCCTAAAGATACAGAGGTTCTCTGACTGCATAACATCTTTTATCTTGGTACTGCGAGTCAGTTCTTATGCCTTTTAGACACTGGGAATACCTTTGTGGGTGTTCACATTTCTCCAGCACCATTTCCCAGTTCTGACCTTCTTGGCTTTGCAGGTCTTAGCACTAAGACAGGGATTTCAAGAATATGAATCAGGCACCCTATCAGCCTACTTTTGTCATCGTTAGATATGTATGACCAATGATCAGGGAGGCTGAAAGTAATTTTCCATGACTTGAGTGTTATTTGAAGCTGACACTTAGGCATAATATCCTCACACTTTCTGCTTCTGAATGCCAGTTCCTCACTGTCAGACAACTCATTTTATCATTGCTTTAAAGATTCAGACTATTATGGGTCAATATTACAGAGATTTCTCAACCATTTCAGAGATCAGTTTCAATCAAGCTAATTAGTTTGCAACTACTTTCTCCTAATCAACATGAAATTGGAGCTGCTTTGTTCTTTTTTATGTGTGAATCTTTATCTGCTCTTCTCACCTCCTTCTTGCTTTCAAAGAACATCTGCCAAGATTGATTTCTCTGCACATGGTTTGTAACTTCATCTCTTAGTGAAACGTGATTTCCCAAAGCCCATCTTAATTCTCACTGTTTTCCCAACAATATGTCCATCTGTCCTTCAGTTGTTTACTTTTTCTAGGTGGTTCAGAACATTAAATGTCTTTCATAAAATGATATTAAAGTGCTTTTATCTGTTAATCTGATACCCTTTATCCTGCAGTGTCTACAAGGTATCTTAGAGAGTATGATGGTTAAGAGATGAACAACTTGCAAGTTCTTCCTTGTTTGCCTCTCTAGTTGAACAGCCTACAGAAGGAGCTCAAAGAGCGAAACAGTGACATTGAGGACATGAAACTGGAACAGCAGAATCTGGAAGGTGTAATTAAGTCGTTGGAGAAGGACATCTCAATGCTGAACACGAATATTGAAAAGAGAACTAACACTATTCAGGAAAAGGTGAGAAACTGGACAATTGGCTGAGATCATTGTCTCCCTCCCTTAATTTACTACAAATTATTTTAGTAGTATGGTGCTGTGTTAACATAATGTGCAGGAAACTCAGTTTTAACTTCAAGAACTTGCAAAGTCTTTAGTTTGTGATCTTAATGTTTTAAGCTTTCCTTCAGAAACTCAGTATAGGGTATTGAATTTCTCATCCCCCATTCCTGAGTTTTTAGGATTATCCGTAATCTCTGCATTATTTCCCCCCTTGCTTCCCACCCCGTACGAGTGAGATTTGTGACTAAAGTCTAGACTCCCTCTAGATACGTGACTGCTGTTTTTGCCCATGCTGTATTCACACCTCACCTTAAGGATCTTTGAGAGCGCTGAGTCTGATTCAAGTTCCTGTATGTATTTCTCCCAGGAGAAGCATATATATGACCTAAAGAAGAAAAACCAGGAATTGGAAAAGTTCAAGTTTGTACTGGATCACAGAATAGAGCAGTTTAGAAAGCAAATAGAATCACGTGAAAACGATATCAAAGTAATGAAGGAGCAGATCCACGAGGTGAGTAACACCATAATTAGGCCTCTGCTACTAAACCCTTCGGCTGAATATGAGGATCACCAGGCCAGTCCCATGGAAGTCCCTCTGTTTGTTCCCTGACTTCTTTCTAAGACACACAACATTGATTCAATAGCTTTGCAGCTAATAAAAATACTTTGACACAATAGGTATTTAATTTTACATCGTGTGCTGCCAGTGACCAATCCTGTTAAGTTCCTGTTTCAGTGTTTTATTCAAAATTGAGTAATATAATGTTTGCTTAAAAATAAATGTCGTCTTTATATAGTTGCCCTGCACATACCTTGTAGAGTTTGCAAGACACTGCCTTTGCTGATCTGGAGGAAGAGGGAGAGAATTCCTCTCAAAAAGTTGCAGACTTATGCAAAGAAAACCAAATTCAGGAATTAGATCAATCAACTAATCCATGGAAACTTCCCATGTGTTCATAATTACCTTGCAGCAAGTTCACTTAGGCAACTTATTCATGATATAACCTTAGTGTGACTTATCCACTGCTAATCACTGACCTGTTTGGTTTCATACACCTATTTATTCAGAATGAAAGCCTTTTAAATAAATGTAAGCTAATGAATATCTTATGTGCATGTCACACTAGCACGAGGAAAGCTCTATCCTCTCTTCTGGTCATATTCTCACATCAGTAAGTGCTGTAGCACCCTTAGGTGCTTTTTGTGGCCAATTTTTCTACAGCTTTTCATGCATTTGTTTCTTTTCAGTATCATATGGTTCTTGTTGTTGCACTTACTCTTTCCGGTATTGATAATTTTCACCTAACTCGTTTTTATTCAGATAGAACAGTACAGCCTTAGCCCAACTCAAGGAAATCAATAGTCACCACATCACTTAAATCTGTAATTTGACAGGGAGCTGTATATCCGTTTTTTTTTCTCCTCTTTTCTCTGTGTTCTGGCAGAGGGCAGTGTTGTTCCAAAATTGATTTGTTTTGTGTTGTACGCAATTCAACCTGAAGGGGGATCTCCTCCCTCAAGTCTGTATTTCCAGCCCCTGATTTTTCCCATTACGTGTTGTTTTTTTCACAATGCCTCCACTTAATCTTGATGTCCTCCCTCTGCTTCCTTTCAGATGGAGAGGGAACTGGAACAACTCCACAGGGAGAACGCACAGTTGAAACTAAATATCACACAATTGCAACAAAAATTAAAAGCAACCAATAAGGACTTGCACAAAGAGAGGCAGAAGGTATGGGGTGCAGCCACTGACCAGTGGTCCCAGTGATCCATAGTCCTGGATAATGAAGTTTGTGGGGGTGTAACACTGCAGAAGCATTAATGTGACCAAAGAGGTCCTATGGGTGCTGTGTACAAAGCTGAGGAAACAGGAGAGTCTATAAATTGGGGGACAAGGCAGAAAACTTCTAAATCTGCAACCAAACTAGCAAGTTGATATTAAAAAAAATTCAGTTATTTATACCCAGGTTCAATCAACACATTCTCCCAGATTTAACAGCACAGTGAGACAGCTGTTTTTAATAAAGTATTTTTAAACAACTAAGTTTAAGTATGTATTAGCTTTCACCTTTTCTGCTAGATTTTCTAGAAGATTGAATGTGTCAGAGCCTACTGTGATGTATCTGTATTACTATTACAGAAGCAAAATATGGAAGCTCTCATCAAACGATTTAAAATGGATCTTCATAATTGTGTGGGCTTCATTCAGGATTATAAAAAACTGAAGGTTGGGATCCGTGAGCTCTACACCAAGTATGTGCAGCAATTGGAAATGGTGAGTTAGAGACTTTGCCTTCTCTTTGCAGATGAGTATTTATGATAGTGTATTTACTGAGGCAAAACTTTGTGCTCTCTCAGGTAGAGATGGAAGAGGTAGACACAGATTTGCAGCAGGAGTACATGAGACAAAGAGAATATCTTGAGAGGAATTTAGCAGCTCTAAAAAAGAGAGTGGTGAAGGATCAGAAAATCCACCAAGCTGCTTACACGCACATCATGCAGGTAACAAGCCTTTCCTTTTGTTATAGGGAAGAAGTTGCACAAAAGAGACCTCAATCACCATACTGCCATTAATTCTTAGAACTTTAAAACAGTTTTGGTTTGCTTCCTCACCAGGAGCTACTAGGGCTTTCAAGTGCTTCTATTCAAGGACAATCTTCACTGAGCCACTAATGCCCTACAATTTTCTGGACGGAAAGAGCAAGATCTCCAGTGCCAGAAATTGCTGCTGTTTTGCAGATATTTTTGTTTGTCTGCCATTTCCCACTTTTAAAGGAGATAGGCTATAATGCTGTAATGTTATAGAAAGTACAGTGATAATAGCAGGGTGGCATAATCCTATGCTGCAGCAAACGTGAAGAAGCCCAAATGCAGCCATAGGCACAGAAACAAAAGAAGAAAAACTGCTTACCTGCCTCCAGTAGGCAGGGATCTCCAGAGAGGTACCTTCACCCTTAAATGAGATCTGGTAAGGAGTGGATCCTGGCTTCACCCCTTCTGGTTAATTGCATGCACCTGAGCTCCCCTGGGTTGGCCCTGCCTTTCCACCAGGTGCTCAATCACTGTTTCAGGCTGTGACTTAGCATTTTTGCTGCATAGGGCATCTCTGCTACCTGATTTTTTTTAAAAGTAATTAATGGACTTATTTTATTTCAAACAGTATTTTTAATTGCCGCTATTGTCAATTTGCACCTTAGAACCAAGCTGCACTTACTATGTGGCACTGTTTAGGAAGTAATTTTGGAGAAAGAAAAAAATACTGACTTTATTTTGTCATACATGTCCATTCCTACTGGTCTGAATTCAGAAGGGCTTTCAGCTGTTCTCATCCAGATGTTCCAAGGAAGCTCAGAAACACACAGTTATTATGCCGATTCACATCAGGATCTCTTGCTCAGAATCCTTGTTCCTCATGAAGCAAGATAAACTTATGAGGGCTGAGGCCAAAGATCCAGTTTGTTTTCGTCTGGAAATGGGAGGATATGGAGCCCCACAACGAACGTCCTGGGAGGACAGCACTTTCACAGTCTCTTCTTACCATAATCTCCTTCTGCTCAGTCAGCATTTCCTTTTCCCCTCACTTTTCTTCATCGTTACTCTATTACACTTCCTCAGGATTGCTAGACCTTAGTCCTCACCAAAGTCATCTGCATATTGTTATTTATCCATAGTGCCTCTTCAGGTCCATGCAGCAGCAGTCTTCTTCATTGGCCTTATTATTATTTTTTTTTTCACTCCTGTGAATTTGATGTTTCCTTTTGGCACAAAACAGGGTGGCTTCAGAAAAGAACCTGAAGAATTTTCCTGCAGGAATAGGGTGACAGATGGTGCTTATAATGATAATACTCAATGTTTTGGACCAGTAAGCCTAACATGAAATGATGATTAAAACTAAATTAATAAAACATCTGGAAGATGAAGATATCAAAGGTTCTAATCAGCTTGGTTTCTTTAAAGAAGAAGCAGTTCTCTGAAGTCTAGTAGATTAATGAGACTTTACAGCCAGGAGGAATTATCATGGTCTTCCAGTCCACACAGGAGACTTTTAAAACTAGTTTAGACAAACTTTTGTCAGAGCTTGCTTTGAACAAGTAAATGACATGCTGATGGCCTTCTAGCTCTGTATTTCTAGTATTCCTCAGTTGTGCTTACATTTTCAGAGCTGTGCATTCCTCTTTGAGTGACTGTTCATAGGCATATTCCATTCATAACTGCTGCAACAGATGATTAGAACTGCCAAGATAATTTTAATTGTTGTTACCAATTGACAGCTGCTTGTTCTTGCACTGCTAGTTTTCCCTCCAACCTCCTGTATTTGTAATGACTTCTTTGATCACATGGATACACAAGAACAGACATACTGGAAAATCTTGAAGTAACACTGCTTGAACTGAAGTATTTGTAGGATCATCTTTTCCATCATGGTGTCATTCCTGTCTCTGACAGTCAGCACTGCAGGGACTCACTAGGCTGTAGGTTGTGTCCGAATATCATATGCAGTTGTTTCTGTTGGTCTCATCCTCCACGCACTTGATCAGTCCCTTTTCTGAAACAATTTTTACTTTTCTGCAACATCCTATGACAAAGTTTTGCAGTGAGCATTTATTTTAATCCACCGCTGATCGTTTTGATGCAGTGCAATCTTCCAGTTAGAATGCAAAGATTGAATTAAAAGCTAAATCTGTCTGGATAGCCTGCCTCTTCAGAAGGATATTACCAGTGTTAACCAACAGCCTCTTTAGCACCCAACAAGTCAAACAAGACATTTTGAAGTAGCTGGAATTACCTCACACAGAATACTGTGTATTTTTCTAAGAAGTCAACAGTAACAACTGATAGCAGCATCAAATTCTGGGCTAAGTATATAGATGATGTCAGTCAGAACTAATGAAAAGGTCTTTGAAGATCCGCAAGGAGATAATGATAATTTAAGTGAATAGATACGTGGTGTAAAAGTGAAAAGCAAAATAATGCAGACTGAAGGGAGAAATGGGAATTGTACATCTTAATTCTGAATTAATTAGATCAATCCTAGAGCATTCTCGAGCTTCTCTGTGGAACTGCAATGAAGATGATGTCTCAGAATGCAGCTGCAGTCAGAAAAGCAAAACAAATATTAGCTTCTTCAGCTTACGTGATTAAATTGTGTCATTTTTATTTTATTTCAGATCTACTATAGCCTTATCTGAAATATGTGACGTACTGATTGCTCTAGCTCCACAAGCATACAGTATCTTCTGCTTGTTACACTGACTTTACACTGTCCAGTTTCCTTCCCATGGACGTGTTGCTGAACCAGATAGTACCTGTGCTTTTCCTCATAGAGTATATTGGTTTTGCAGGAAAATGTGAGTCTGATTAGGGAAATTAATGACTTGAGACAAGAACTGACAGTGGCTCATACCCAGGTACATGACCTCCAGTCAGCACTAAGATTAACTAAGAAGAAACAAGCAATTCAAGACACGGGTGAGTAATGCTTCATTTGTGTCTGCATGCTGTCAGAGCTTATTCCACAAGCCCTCTTTGACCTTAATGAACAATTCTGTTATTATCTCTGTATTGTTCCAGTTTGTCTGCCTGACAGTACCTATAGCATTGTTGTGGTGAACACTGCAAAATATTACTGTTCAGCTGTACTCCTTCAGTCCTGAAAGCTGTCTTTCTTTGCTTATTGCCAACAATTGTGAGCTAGACCTTTACTCTGTCCTCTCTGTTTTATCTTCTAGCTCCTTCCAGTGAAATGCTGTCAAGCCCAGCTGTACTAAGGTTGAATGCGCAGAAGGAAAATGAGAAAATCATAGAAATGCAGCTGCTTGAAATCCAGCATCTACGAGACCAAATTCAAGAAAAGGGGCAAGGCCTTGAAGCTCAGCCTCTGTTACATAGAATGTTTCCTAAGCTGAGTCTGGAAAGAAGCCACAAGGCACATCAATACTGACCTGGTTCAAGGACACCTTATGTTGTTATATTCTCCTGGCAAGCTCAGAAATCCAACAGCATAGATTAGACTTGCATTATCACTAGAAGTATTCCTGTAGCACTCACTGCTCAGGACACAAGACACCAACCTTTCTTCCCTCCTTCTTTCCTGCCCTTTCCATGAGTACTTACCTCTCACTTAAGAATGCATGTTCTGAAGTCTTTCTGCTGCCAGGGAGCCAGGTGAAAAAAATAAATACATTTGTGTTAGAGTAAGATTGACCTTTGTGCCTTCATGCTTGGGCAGTTACACACCCCTGTCTTTAAAAAATAATGTGTCCTAGTTGAGAATTGCTGGTCAACTCTGTAAGCTCTGTCTGCTAGAATTCTAATTTGGTGTCATTGTGCTGCAAAAACAATATCATCCTTCATTTTTCCAGAACTGGCTTGCCTATATCCATACAAAGGGCTGCCTGTACTTAAGACAGACGTCACTGCTATTCCAAGGACGTATCCAGTCACTGACTGAAAATCAGTTACCTTGTGAAAGCAGTCTTTGGCTAGGGATCGAGCATTCCTAGCTGGAGCCATGCTCAAGCCCCTGTCTCATTTTGAGGGATGTGTTGGTCCATTACAATCATTTCAGCAAGACTCCAAAATGTGCAATAAAGTCCAAATCTTACGTCATAATTCATATATTAATTAAATAAATTCATCTTTGCTTTTTTTCCCAACATCTGCAACCACTTCAGGACTCCTTTCTCTGAAAATCAGGGAAAAAAGAAAGTCTTCCTTTTTGGGTCTCAGTGTATGATACATATCTGCCACACTGAGGAACACTGCACATGTATCAGAAGTTTGTAGCTACTTTATGAGCATGGAAACTATATGGTGTTGTAACAGCCAGTACGTTGCTGTTTCTGTTTCCTATCCTGAATCATAGAGAAGTGACAAGTGCTTTCTAAATATTAATGATAATATTACACTGAAGATCACAGTGTCAAGGCTGGATAGCACATAACTCTAGAGATACTAGACTCTTTTCCACTATGGTAAAACAGATGGTTCCGTGAGCCCTCATGACCCAGGATGCTTTAGTTGCATGCTTTGTCCTCGAATGTGGAAATAAAATTTCTTTAGCCTTGCCTGTCTCATTTTGAGCTTTAACTGCATGAAGTGTAAGTTTGACAGGAACAAGTTCTGATGGAATTGGTCTATTAATGTGCTAGCTTAACACCCTTTCTGCCGCCCCCAGCCCCCATAATCATCTTGATACTTCCTGTACAGAAAGAGGATGTAATTAATGTAATTAGCAAATATTTTAGAAACCAGTTCCCTCTTAAATTTTCAGAACACACCCATTTTAATTTGCTTGACTCCCATGTGGTATAATTTTCCTCTCATTTTGTCAGAATAAATTGAGTGGTAGAAGCCACTGCTTTAATAGACGTGGTTTAGAGAAATGGAATCAATCTTTTTGAGAAAGAAGAACCTTGTCCTCATAAGAGGAAGAAGCGTATTCAGGTGAAGAATGATTTCTAAGTTGTGATTAACATGCTTAAAAGTACAACTATGTGTCACTGTCGTTAGAAAGATGTCATTTTAAAGACAGTACAAAGCTCAGTAGATGAAGCCCAGGTAAGCATCTGGCAGACCGAGTTCAAGAGGATTTAGGGCTTGATTGTGGTGGGTAGGATGTGCTAAATCATCATTTGTAAGGGGGAACACTGAAAGACAGGCATAGCACAAGGTGAGTTTATCAGGTGCTCCCTGGGGAAAAAAGAAAAAAAGTATTTCCTGGTGTTTTCTACTTTCATCCTCACATGGTCTGTATTGTCTGTTTCTCTTTATCACCTCTCTAAAGGAGCTAATCAGCATCTCATGCTTTTGTGAAGTTACAGGCCAGCTTTTTAGAAAATGCATTGCCATCCTGAAAGCTGAATGAGGCTTTTTCTTGGATGATGTATTTGATAGCTGGCCCACCAAGAGGATGGGTTTGTCAGGGTACAGATGAGGTCATTGTTCAAGAACATTTGCAGGAGGATATCCATTATGTTCCATTTGTTGTTTTAAGCTGAAGACACCAAGCATTCAATAGATTACGTTTCATAAGATTCAAGATTTTACTCAGACAAATTTCTGAATCTGCCACATTAACTGGAATCCATTGCATTAACATCTCCTAAGCTTCTTATGTCATGGTCTGCTAAAAAAAGAACAAGTGACAATAACTGAGCCCTTGCCATTACTCAGGCAAGGGATGCTGTTCAGAACCATTTGCTTCTTTCTACATCTCCCAAGAGATCATCTGGCCAAACAATACCAAATACTTTCTAAGTCATGTCTTACCTACTGCTACCAACGTGGCTGCAGTCTTCCTCACTTGCCTCTTGGAGCTTCTCCCCATCCCTTTGCTTGCAGCTGGGAGGAAATGAGCCCCTCTGCAGGAGCAGGGCACTGCAGAACGGTGCTCGGGGAGGCGGGAGGAAGGAGCTGTGCCTCTGGAGGCTGGCCAGGCCAGCAGCAGGTTTGCTGAGCCACCTCCCTGCTGGGGAATGCACCTGCTGGGCCAGGAGTGAGGGCTCACAGCCTGTCGCAGGTGCTGACGCTGGCGCCACACCAGGAAGGGACAGGCAGGAGCACCTGTGTCTTGGCAGGTGCCATAGGAAGGGAAGGGATTTTCCCCTGGAGGTCCCTTTGCTAGCTTGATCCAGCAGAAGAAAAGCTTGAAAACATCAGTGCTGCCAAGCAGGAGAGAGGAGCGGTGCGGGCAACATGTCAGCTGCAGGTGAGTGAGCCTGGCTTACTGAGAAGGATCCTGTTCTGAGTGCTACGTGGGAAGGGTCAAACTTTAGCAGAGGCTGTCAGCAAATCTGAGGGCTGTTTTGCAAGTGCTTCCAAACAGATCTGCCTTCTGCCTCCACAATACCCCCTCTCAGCACTCAGGCACAGAGTTCTTGCCCACTGAGATCTCCTAGACCTCCCTTGGCAAAGAGGAATCGAGACAGCTCTGAAGGAACACTGGGTCCTGTTACCTATGTGGAGAGGAGGGGGAGTGAGAATCTTTATAACAGAACATCACAAAGCTATCTCGATTTCTGTTATGAGAGGCTCTCCACCACCCTCATCTCCAGAGTCCCTAGACTTGGAGAAAGAAAGGGCTGGTCTGCCATCACCTCTGGCCTTACCAAGGTTTCTCCAATGATGGTGGGTGGGATGCTTGTTTCTGGGAAAGCACAGTCTGGTGTCCACTATCCTGAGAACACAGACAAGGCTTTGAGCATCACAGCATTCTGAGCTTCAGCTTGGTGTATTGGCTGTAACTTGGATATAAAACAACATACATGAGTTTCTTTCTCTTGGACCCTTCAGGGAATTGGAAAAATTGCATGAAAAAAATATGAAAATATGAAATATGTATGCTTCTGGTTTCTGTGCGGTGGGGAGAGGGGTAAAGTGAGGCACAGGGCAGGAGATGGTCCATCCCAAACAGTTCATGGCCAGAGCTGCCAAGAGGAAAATAAACCACAATGGACAGGAGAAATGGGGAAGAGGGTGTTTTGTGTTTCTTTGGGATGTGAGGCTCTCTTGGCTCTCACCTACATCTTAACGTGAATCACTGTATGTATTACTGTTCATTTTATAGAGAAGTTTGCCAGACTTCTTCCATCTCTGTGATGCTCATGTCATCCACACAGCTGAAGCAAACACTTCCCAAAGCTGGAAGCACTGCAGGAGCCAGTCCCACCACCAGGCTTCCCTGAATGCTGTGGGTGAGCCATGTCTCATGGGATACGCTGGGCTCTGGGGGAGGAGGGAAGTCAGGAATATTTCAACAGCTGAGCTGTGTGTGTGACTCTGAAACGAATGTGTTAATTTACAGTCCGTGATCATCTGCCAGATATCAGTCAGACATATAAAGTCTATAAGCAAATAAATAAGTGCTCACACTGTTCCCCATGGTTGGAAAGGTGTGTCTCACAATTGCAGCCAGGAGTGGTCAGAAACCTGTTGATGACAACTCTCAATTCCAGTTGAACATTGCCAGAGTAGGAAAAAATAAAAGGAAAGAAGCTCACATTTCCTAATGTTTTGTTTTTTTTCCTGAGTTCCCAGTGTTTTCCTGTTCTTCCTCCACCTGCCAGAAAGCAGTGGGGAATGAGATAGTCTGAGGTTTTTTTTTCTGGAATGTGGCTTTCAATCAGAAAGCAGCATACAGTTGGGATGATCCTCTCCTTTCTTCCTTGCATGCGAAGAAACACATCTGCAAAGTCACTGTGAGATCTAGTCTGATCCCTGCCCCAGATCCGCAGCTTTGAGATGCCCTCTGCTTTAAGCAGGCAGTTCACAAGGTCTCATCTCACCTAAACTGTTCCATGATTCCATGTGTAAAAACAACGTTATTGAGAACATAAACCCTCACAGTTTTGAGAAGCCCGAGCAATTGCAGATGATCTTAGAGCAAAAGAATATATTCCCAGGACTTACTCAGTCAAATGCAAGGAAACACGGAGGCACATTTCACCTCTCCAGATCATTCTTTTGTTATAGCTTAATGTAATGGTAAAAAATAAGCAACATATTTTATTCTGCAGCCAGATGCTCTGAGAGGTCTCTGTTCTGAGCAAACAAAAATCAAAATGGTTGAACTCCAAAAAGCAACGTGAGAATATAGTTCTGTAGCTTGATTTTTTTGGTGGTGTTTTCCCTCATTGTGGTTTCTGCTGCTGCGTGGGTTTTGTTGCTCGCCTCACAGCCCCACTGTATGCACAACTTCAGCCAAGCAGCAGAAGGCCGCAGGCTTTGCACCTCTTCAAGCCTTCTGTTCCCTTAGTCCAAAATCTCAATCTAATCTACCGACCTGCTATCTGCTGAACTCACCCGCTCTCTGGTGAGGATGAGATAAGGCTCCCCTGCGCCTGGAGAAGGAAAGGCAGGAGGAAGTTGTGCTGAGCTGTGCCCTGGGGAAGTGCTGCGGGGCTCGTTGTCCCCTCACCCCTCTTTGCAAGTGACCCACAGCGGTGTGAGACATCTCTGTGAAAGCAAACTGGGTGCCAGCGGGCACAGAGCAGCGTGCTCAGCCAACACAGCCTCAGAACGAGAGCCCACGTCCCTCTGGGCCCAGCCTGTCCCTGCTGAGTGGCCATGCCGGGAAATGGCGGCACAGCTGGGCCTAGGCCTGCAGGCCAGCAGTGCCAGGGACTTCCTGCACACGTGGCGGCAGCTGGCAGTGGGCCCAGGCCACGTCCATAGTGACCTCACACTGCAGCACTGCTGCGGGCAGTGAGTCAGGCGGCGGCAGGCCCAGGCACTCCGCCATTGTGCTCCCTCTGCTCCACCCTGCAGCAGTTCATCCCTGCTGAAGTGGCACGGGGTGATGTGGTCTCAGAAAGGTGTCTGGAAGCTGCAGGAGAAAAGGTCCCTGATCTGTGCCACGTGCGGAGGTCCCAGATGTTCTCCAGTGATCCATAATGAGCCCAGGGTGCCCGCATTGTGTAAATGGGCTGTGGTAGACACGGGCCAGTGGTCTCCAAATGAGCTGTTTGGGGCAGGGGGGGTACAGGGCTGTCCTCCCAGTCAGGGTGACATCTCTGGCACAGGGAATCTGGGCTCCTGTGCTACTCTTCCTGGGAGGGGAGCAGGAGGCAGCTCAGGCTCTGTCCCATGCCTGTGGGGCTCAGACTGTCCTCTCCAAGTACTTCCTGCCTCAGATATCAGTGGTGTGCCCATGCCAGGGTGGGACATCGTGTGGGAGAAATGCAAGTGGTTTCCAAATGCAGAAAACTGCACAGAGAAGCATTAATGGGAGGCAGAAAGAGAGTCAGGGTGCAGGGGAGGGGATGTGCCCCAGGAAGCAGGACTCATTAGGAGCAGGAAGAGCAGGAAGGAGAGAACTGCAGTGCCAGGTCCTGGCTGCTTCTGGGGCTCTTTCCATGGAAGTGCTGAGCCCACCAGAGGTATAATCATCTCATTTCTGCAGTGAGATTCCTAATGAGACAGGGAAAGGGCTGAGCAAATGAACTGCAAGGGTTAAGCCTCAGGCTGGGCCCCCCCCACCTCCTACTGTCATTCTGGGCAGCAGAGCCAGTTGGTGACAAGAGGCTGATGCTGATGAGGGAGCATGTGAAGTGGGAGCTGTGAATGGGGCTTTATCCCAGAGGGGACTGGCCTTTGCTCCATCCTGCCCTGCTGCCAGCACCAGCTGCAAGTAGAGCCCATGGGCAGCAGCGTGCCAGTAGTTTCAGTGCATAGCA